TCGGGGCCACACGATCTCTGGCTACAGTTACTCCGTGGGACCTCGGCATCCAGATGAGTTGGACCACCGGGCCCCTTAGGCCCCTCCATAGCCCCTCCCTACTCTCAGCACCTCCTCCCTCTCCCAGCCCAGGGCCGGCCCCTTCTAGGCAGGCGCAAGGAAACTGAATCACCAAGGCCACCGACATTTGTGGAAGCGGGGTGCCAGCCAGCATCTATCCCTAGCCAACAGCCCCTGTCCCGTCCCCTGGGCACTCAGAGCTGACTCATAACTGGACTTTCTGGGGTCCACCCTCTGCCCCCTAACAGGACAAAGAGCCCTGGGTGGGCTGGGAGCCAGAGCAGCAGCCACTAAGCCCTTGCCCCTGTTTCGGTCTCCGTTTTCCCATCTGAACAACGGATGCTCTCTGAGCTCAGAGTTGGGTAAACAACGCACCCCAGAACAGAACAAGCTGTTTTGGATTCCAGGCGCGACTCTGAGCTCTGAAGTGTGCGCCAAGAACCAAGGTGGAATGAATGTCTGGAGCAGGTAGGTGCCCACTGCCAACTGTGAGCCTCTTTCCTGACGTCCGGCTTCCTTTCCTGCGGAAGCTCCTGCCCACTGGAACACGGCTCAACCTTGGCCTGCTGTCTGAGAAGCAAGTCCTGATGACCGCAGCCCTGTTCTGAGGAACAAGATCCCAAAGGGGAACCATTTAGCTCGGTCCGCGGCGCCCCGCCGTGGTCAGACCGCGGGATGACAGCAAGCGTCCCCCAAGCCCCATCACAATCACGGGGCAAGGATTAGTACCGTGTCCTCCCCCGACGCTTGTCCCCAGCTTCACTGGAGGGCTGCTGAATCATACGGTTTCTGGTGGGCCCAGGAATCTGCATTTTTACACTTGCCTCTGGTGATTCTGATGCCTGCTGGAGCCTGCAAATAGCTGCTTAATAGCCCAAATTGTAGGGTAAGGGATTTCTAGGTCAAGGACTAAAATAAGGGAGTATTTGGACAGGGTTTCTCTAGGAAGGGTTGTGGGAGAGAAACTGAGCCAGCCAAGGGGGCAACCTCCCTCCTTCCATATTTCCTGAAGAAGAGGAATCAGTGCCACCTAAGAGTTATATTCTTTTTGAGATTCTGTCAGTTTTCCAGTAAGTTTCCTTTAATTAAAAAAATAATAATAATGATTTTAAAGATAGTAAATACCCTGGCCTTCTCAGAGCTGAGCTCCCAGGGAGGGGTAAACAGTGTTTACAACTCCTCCAAGACCGCCACAAAGCAGCTCACCTCCTACCTGCCCTGCCTGGTAAGGGATGGGCTATGAGTAATGAAGATTAGTCAAGATAAGGCCTGAGTGGGCCATGGCAGGATAGAGAGAGCTGCCCATGTTGTGGTGGGAGACGAGGCAGCAGCTGAGAGCACAGCCCAAAGCAGGGGTTGTGCAGCCTGAGTGCTGGTGGGGGCATTCAGATTAGTTTTGCCTGGGTCCAGAGCCCCAGTTTTTTAACCTGCCTTGACTTGTAGGCAGCAAGATTCTCTATAGAATATTTCCTTGTGCAAAAATGGGAGCAGGGGGTTCCTTCCATATCCCTGGGGTCCACCCAAAAGCCCAGAGCAGTCTCTCCTTGCCCACAGACTCCCAAATCCTTTAGATCCAAGTTCTGCCCATGGGGGGCCCAGGGTACTATGGGAAGCAGGTAATTCAGAGAGGGACTCTGGGTGGCACCAGGAGCAGGAGAACCCATTTCTAGCAACTGTGTTACAGAGGCTGTGAGATAGACCTCTCCTCTGGTCACTGCATGTCCCTAGATAAATCACTGCTAGGACCTCAGTTTCCCATCTGTGATATGATTATGATAGGAGAAGACAGGATTCAGTAGGCAGAGAGGAAAAGATTAGGGCCTGAGGTCCCTGTGTGGGGAAAAACACCTATTTTGGAACAATGCTGGGAGTGTCCAGGTTCCTCTTAAGAGTGTAACAGGCCCCAGCTACTCCACCTCAGGTTTCCCTTCTGGAATTTGACAAAAGACCTAAGTATGGCCATTGACCATCCCTCACCACCAATCAGGAATGGACAACCCAGCACCTAGAACTATCAAGCCAAAAAGGGTAGAACTTGGGAAGGAACAAGGGGGAAAGGAAGGGGGAGGGCTGACCAGAACCTTATAAAACAGGGACCCTTGCCTTATAGTCCTCGGGCGTTCACTTTTGAATGTCTCTTCTCTGTAAAGAGAGCTTTCCTATTCTTCTTCCTTTCTAATCTTATATTCTAATAAACTTTTGCCGGCTGTTCATTTTGTGTCCACCTCTTCATTCTTCAAAGCAGTGAGACAACGAATCCTGGGTATTGTGGTAAAAAATCCTGCAACATGATGAGCTGATAAGCATGAACATGCTGTGTAAACCCAGGCACCATCGTATAGCTGTGAAAGAGGGGAAGTGGTTTGTCTGGAGGTCTACAGATCTAAGTTAAGGCTAAATACAAACCTGGTCCCCAATCCCCAGGGAGGGCCTCTGTTTATCTCTGTTTATCTCTTATGGTGGGGCCCTGCACCAGACATGATTGTGCTCTTACACACACCCCTTCTCAGGGGACCAGCAGATTGTGCCAGACTAGACACCTAGCCCAGAATCCACAGGTGGGCTGGGCTGGGCAGACCCCTCTCCAGGCTATGGAACATGGGCTGAGAAAATGAGAGGGAGCTGGGAAATTGAACTGGAAAGTGACAAAGCCACTGCTGGGGCCACATTCAGAAGAAGCTGACTGAGGGGGAAGATACAGAGAGTAGGGAGCATTAGCAGAGCTGAAGGAACCTTGAGCCCCAACTTCTGTTTCTCTACCACCCTTGGCTGCCCCTGAGTTGGTGAGCTGGGCTTTTTCAGCAAATAGGCTTTGATTTGAGCAGGACTGAGTAGTCCCTGCTCCTCAGAGCCAAACACATCCTTGACTACAATAATCCCTTTGGAAGGGGTAGATCACACCTAGTACATATGCCCTTGAAAGCCCGTGCAGGGGGCTCTCCCTAGCCTGGCCTGAGACCTGCCACTGCCAGCTGGTGAGGAGGAAGCAGGGTGGTACAGTGGCAAGTGCCCGAGGGCTGGCATCAATGGCTCTGACACCTCCAGGCTATGTGACCTAAGGCAAGCCTCAGGCCTCTCTGAGTCTCCACCCTTCTTTGTCAGGATTATAAAACCAAGGAGCACAGAGCAGGTTCTGAAGCCTCTGAGAAGTGCTCCTGATGGTGACTAAGGTGGGGCAAGGGAACAAGCACTCTGGGGTTCTGGGCACATACATTTCACCTTCAAAGCAGGCTGCATATCTTCATTTGGCTTTCTGGTACTTTGACGCTTGTTTCAATATAAGAATTTTTAAATCGCCTACTTCCCCTTCCAATCCAGATGCTAAATATTTGAAACTGGAGCCCTAGGAAGAGGCATATATGTAATATGCAGGTTTGATAACTTTGTAGCGCTGTAGCTCAGAAAGCCCCTCTGAGACAAGCCCCCTTCCTAACCTCGGTGAGGTGGGGCATGTGGGGTGTCTCCTTGGCCTGAACCCCACTTCCTGAGGTTCCCAAGGTCAGCTCGGGGTTCAGGGCCCTCCCACTAACAGGCAAGGTTCTGGGGCCTGGCTGCTGGGGGCTGGGGTGGTACCCTGACTGTGTGTTGGGCAAAGCAGAAGCGAGAGCCCAAGCTCTAGGGTCCTGGGCCTCAGGTTGCCTTTGGGTTCTGCCATATAGTCATAACAACCATGGGAACCCCCAACTTTCAGTGTTTGAGTGGAAGAGCCAGGAGGCCACCCCAGGCCCGGTCTGTCTCCTAAGGCACGTCCCCTGCCTGACATTGTAGGTGAGTCACATGTCCTCTTTGAGTACCAATTTCCTTAACTGTAAGGCAGAGATGGAAACAAAAATATCCACAACCTCAGAGTCATGCAAGAAAGTGTCTAGCAAGTACATGCTCCCTAAACAGCAATCACCTTTGCTACAGCCTGCATCACTCCCCCAGCACCCAGGAGAAGGCTCACCCACCTTCCTTTGCTCCCCTGCAGGTACCTCTTCCTTCTGTGTTCCAGCCCCCGGCACTCACTCGCCAACTTGAGGCATCAGGACGCTGGGGCAGGTGCACAAACACTTTAATCATTTCATAGGCAGGGTTTGAGCGTCTGTGCGGAGCCCCCACCAGCTACTATGCCACAGCAAGCACTGGGGCCACCCCCATGAAGGTGGAGTTGAGAGCTGGGATCAGGGCTGTAGCCCCTGGGCCATAGAGGTCTCCTTGCAGGGCTTCAATCCCAGAGGGGCAGTCCTCATAGCACCAGTAGCCAGTGACTTCTCCTCCTTGTGTTGAGGAGTCGGAGATGCTTTATACCCTACAGACCATGCATGGCCTTCAAAGGATGCCTGTGTGGCCAGACTGGGCCAGACTGGAGCAGACAGCCCTCCCAGGGAAAGCGCTTGGTTAACTGATCCAGGGTGGATGATAGCTTAGGACCTTCACAAGGGTGGTAGCTGGAATGATCCAGGGGACCCTATCCAAGTGCACATGAGGTAGCAGCAGGGTTGGGCTGTTACAGCGATGTCTGGAGGGAAGGCAGAAGCCCAGGGAGTGGGCAAGGCTGCTGGGGTGAGTGAGCGCAGAAGCTACCAGGTAGCCAGCCTCAGCTCAATGGTTTCTCCATCCTTGGGGGTGTATTCAGCAATACCTGCAGAAACAGATTGAGCAGGGGGGTTAACAGGGAAGAGAATCCTATCCCCAACCTCTTCTTATGGACAAGCACCCTGAGGCCAGGGTCTATAAGACCCACTCAGGGCTTGGTGGTGGGAAAGTGGGAACTATCCAGAGCTGTCTGGAAACTGAAATTAGCTGTAACCTCGGGTCCCTAAGGCCCACAGGCTTATTTTAAGGTGGGGGAGCCCCCCAGGGGGGTATACAGGACAGCATTCTGGATAACTAACACAGGGTGAAAGGAGCCAGAGACCCCTTGACAACACCTGGTGGGCAGGTGTTGAAGACAGGGTCACTGTCTTCATAGTCCCTTGTGGGGCCAATGGGAAGAGGGACTTGCTCAGTGTGGTCTGAAGGAAGAACCAAGACTGTGAGTGAAGTCTCCTTCAGGGCCAGCCTCTGATCACTAGAGACAAACCAGGCTCCAGCATGATACCTGGGTTCAAGCCCCAGCTCTTCACTCATCAGCGGTATGACTTTGAGCAAGTTATTTAACCTCTGTGAGTGCTAGTTTTCCCATCTAAAATGGGGACAATAATGGTATCAACAACCAGGCATTCCTTTTTCCCCATGAGAGGGGGTTCAAGCTGGACTGGAGGGCTAGGGGGTGAGAGATAGAGGACACATGGCCCACATCTGCCTCATGATTGAGTTGTCCCAGGCTACCCTCCCTGCGCCACCCCCTTCCTTCCCCACAGCCCAGCCTCAGTAATTAGAGGCCAGATCTGGGGTCTCCATATGCCACGTCTTTGTTTTATTACTCAATCTTCTCAGAAGCCAGGCAGAGAAAGAGAATGCTTTTTCTTGGACTCCTTCAGAAAGTCCCACATTCTGGAAAGCACTTAGCTCAATTCCTGGCACATGACAGGTGCCCAACAGAAGCTCCAGGTAGCAAGAGCAGGGACAGATGACCCTTAAGAGTCTGCCTGGTGACTGGGGGCTGATGCACAAGGATGCTCATGACAGCTTGAGGTGTAAGAGTTAAAACTGGAGACACCCCAAATATCTAGCAGAAATCAAGAAGCTGCAGCCTATCCATCTCACTCCATGCCCCACCGCAGCACACAGTGCCAGGGCAGGCCCTGACTGGCCTAAACCAGGTGTGTGGCAATCCTTGCTCTCCAGCCAATGGTGAGTGCAGAACCTGAACCAGCTCCTAGCAACAGGGATGGGTCCAGGAATGTGCCTGTGTCCCAATTCCACCTTTGTCTGCTGGGGGCAAACAAAGTTCTAAAAGGGAGCAGCTCTGGGAAGACATAAGAAGGGTGTGGAAGCCAACAGAGAAAGGAGTATGGAATCACAGGGGAGCAGGGCTGGAGACCAGGTTACACCAGCCCTGAAGTCCTCAGTCCAAGACACTCTGGACTTGGGTCACAACAACCCAATGGATGTCATACAGTGGAAGCTAGTTTGCATCGTGTTTCCTGTTACTTGCAGCTCAAAGCATCCTCGTGAGTGATATATTCTACGTGGCTATTACAAAGGAAGGGGGAAATCTACATACAGCAACACAGAAAGATGTCTACAATACATTAAGAATGAAAAAAGGGGCGCCTGGGTGGCTCAGTTGGTAGAGCATGTGACTCTTGATCTCAGGGTCATGAGTTCGAGTCCCACACTGAGCACAGAGCTTACTTTAAAATAAACAAACAAACAAACAAATAAAATGTTTAAAAAAAAGAACAAAAATTAAAAAAAAATAAGTTGCAAAACAATATACAGGGCTCTGCCATGCAGTATGCTAGCACTAGCCACATGCAGCTATACAGTGTTTGAAATCTTAGTACAGAAAAAGCATGCAAAATGTCACTAATAATTTTACACTGATTATAACTTGGAATGATAATATTTTGGATATATTTGGTTAAATAAGATACATTATTAATATTAGTGTCACCAACTAGAAAATTTAGAATTACACATGTGCCTTGCATTTTACTTCTGTTGGACAGTATTGCTACAGAGCATGGCTCCATTTTTATGAAAAAATAAACTTATGTATTTAAAAAATTAGGTAGAAAAAATACACCAACAGTTAAAAACAAGAAATAAAAAGCAAAAACAAAAACAAAAAAAAAGAAAAAAGAAAGGAAAAGAAAATATATCAATAGTTAAAAGAAGTTATTTCCGGGTAGCAAATTATAGGTGATTTTAACTTTCTTCTTTTTTGCCTGATTTCCTAGAGTTGCCACAGTAACTTACATAAAAATTCTTAAGCATTCAGTTAAATAACGTACAAGCAACCTTGAGCATCAGTGATTATCTGAGGCTGAGGCCCAGAAAGATTCAGAGGAAAGCTGAGGTGTGCTGGCCTCACTGCAACAATCCCATCCTCACTGCTGGATGGGGGAAATGTCCAGAGGTAGCTGGTCACCAGACCTACCCTGTAGCAGTGGGGTGTCAGGGGCTCGGAGGAGCTGCCAGAACTCACGTTCCCCAGCTTCTTTTCCCATCACAGAGGTCAGGAAGGGGCCTGACAAGGTGTTCTGCGTTCCATACCTACCAAAGGGACAAAGAGAGGGAGAAGTGACTTTTGCTTCCACTGACCCAACAGCAGGAGCAGAACTTCCCCCACCAAGAAAGTCCTGGCCTCTCCCTTAGGGCCAGAGTCCTTCCCAGGCCATAGGCCTCACCTCCATGCCTCCTCTGCAGCCCCCTGACACTGCCCACCCAGGGGACTTCACCCTCTCTGCATTGACCAGGACCATGGCCTACAGGAAGGGACACCTATTATATTAACAACTCAGCAGCTGCCCCCTCTCTGGGAGCTGATATTGCAGGGGTGACGGTCAGAAGATGCCAGCCCCATATATAAGATGCCAATGCCCAATGAGAGAGGGTGAAGCCAGCATGCAGATAAAAGCAGGAACATGTGAGATGGAGACACCTGGTGGTGGCATTGGGTCTCTGGTTCTGGAAATTTTATGACTCAGTGGCACTCCCCTCTTCTTGTGGCAAGATTGCTCAGTCTTCTCTCTGATTCTACACACCCCATGTTCCCCATTACCAGAGAAAGTTGGAGTTAGATTTCTGACCTTTGCAACCAAGAGACTCCTTATTCACACCACCCCCACCCTGAGCTCCTGGTCTCCAACTCTGTGTTTCTCCAGACCACGTGGATGCTGCTGCCAAAGGGATCCTCTTAAATCCATAGGCCATGTTCTTCCTCTCCCCAAAAGGCTTATCAACGTTTCTGTCTTAGAGAGGGAGGGTTTTTACAGTTTTAAGAAACAGAAAACCACTCATGGTGACTTAGTCAAAGGGAAAGTGTTATTTGAGGGGGTGTCATGGAGCAGTCCCCATTGCCCTGTCATTCCCTAACTCTATGGGTCCATGTGGCTGCTTGGAGCACGTCTCTCTGTTTCTCTCTCTCTCCTCTCTTTCTCTCAGGAATCTCTCTGCAGTCCAGCTTTCCCTGCCATGCATTCATGTGCCGTCAGACATGGCCTTCCTGCCTGGCCTCTGCACCCAGTTCAGACACCTACTTCCACTAACAGAATTGCTTCTCTGATTAATATCCCTGATGTCTTCTCAGAGGCTTTGGAATTCTGAATTAAAACGTTAAGTTCTTTTATTTATTTATGTATTTATTTTTTCATTTTGATGACATTTTACAGACAGGAAGGCCAGCAGGTTCTGGGTAATCTCAATGCCTGCTGGACTGTGGCCTGCCAAAGGTGCTCGGTGTGTGTGGCCGTCTGGGACTGTGTTGGCTCCCAGCAGTATTGCTGTATGAGCTGCAGGCTACCAGGAAGAGAACTGAGGTGGGCTTAGTAGGTAACTCATCACAGGGAGTAGACCAAGCCCATGTGATAATAAAAATTCTTATTCTTATGAAAGCTAACATGTATTGAGCTTACTAAGTGTGGGACCCTGCATATATAATAAGCATGTTCCATGTCTTCCTTGTGCACTAATTCCTAGACTCTTTGCATGGGCCCCGTGAGGAGCAGGGTACAGCTGGTGTCTTCAATGGCTCATTGGAAATAACGGGTTCTGGGCCTGTAGCTGGGGAGTGGTGGAGCTGGGATTCCAGTGTGGGTACTCTGCCTCCAGAGCATGTTTTCATAGCTACAGAACAACGCTGGCCCATGGCTGTCTGTTTCCACTACAGCGTGAGCTATCAGGGTTGGAGAAGGTGGAAGCAGAGCCTGGGCCGGCACCTCTCTTGAGGGAGCCTTCTCTTCCATCCTCGTCCCATCCAAGTTCTGTTTCAGGGGTGTGGGGTCAGGAGGGGGTGAGGGCTGGGAGGTGGGGGTCTCACATGAATCCTCTGAGCTTCTGGGCCTTCTTAAGGACATCTTCCAAGGAGGACCCAGCAGGGACAGAGATGGAGTTTATGTATGGTGGCGAGACACTGGGGACCTTCAGCACGACGCGGATGACCTCTTGGGGCGATGAAGGGGTCTCCACAACTGGTTCCAACATGACTATGTCAGGGAGAGAGGAAGGGGCAGCTGGTGTGAGGGCAAGGAGCCAGGTGTTGGTGTTCCTTTCTTCCCTCGAAGACACTGTGGCTCTTCAGAACCTTTTCCTGCCCCTTGGTCCCATCTCAGCCAGCACCACCAGCTGCCATCCCAGCCTCCCTTGTCCCTTAGCCCCCCAGTTCCCCAGCTGCCCAAAGTTGGGCCCCTCACTGGTTTTTCTGCCTCCAGTATCCCCCTTCCCACATAGCACCCCAGAGGGCTCTTTCTAGAACATGCATTTATTCATATGACTCCCCTGTTACCTCTGAAGGTCTCCTCTCTTCATTCTCCTGCCTGTAAGCCCAGCTCATTCTCCCAGACCCTACTCTCTAGTAAGACCTTCCCCAAAATTTCAGTCTTTTCCACCTCGGTGCCTGTTCTTGCTGCCTCCTCTCTCCTCTGCCCTTACTACCTTCTTCCTCCACTAGCAGATCCCACTCCCCAACTCAAGTCCGTCTCCCAGATGAAGCCCTGATTCAAGCTGCTAATTGGAACTCATTACGATGTATCAGAGCTACCCAAAATGTGTCTCTCCCATTCATTCATTCAAACATTTCTATATCGGGCATCATGCAAGGGGCTGCAGATTCATGGCCCACCCAGAGCTCTCTATTTGGTATCTCTCTCCTCATACTGTGGCTTTCTAGAAACTGTGACTGCATCTTAGCTGACAGTATGTCCCACGTGCACCCCCAAACCCCCGTTGACTCAGCAAATCAGGACTAAGCAACTTCCCTTCCCTGACACATGCAGACTTCAGGAAGGGCCCTGCAGACTGAAAAGAACAGGGCTCCCCTGAAAGGCCTAGCTACCTCTTGGTGCCTCACAGTCTGGGGAGATGAGATCCACATAGCTCTTGCCATTCAGGACAGGCAGCAGCTGGGAAATCATGAGAGCGTTCTGGAAGGCCCCGTCCTGCACACTGGCCAACAGAGCAGCCCTTGCCTTAAGGCACGCTGTGCCCAGCTCCACCCCAGGCATGGAGGACTTCATCAGTAACTGGTGACAGAACGGGGAAGAGAAGGAGGAGGTGAGGTGGGTCAGCTGGCATGGAGGGGGCAGGTCTTCCAGCCTCTGACCAGGCCACCTCCCACCAAACACCAGGGTGGGCTATGGCCCCAAGCTCTCCTTCCTACCTGTAGTGCCAGAGGGGTGCTGTAGACATTTCCAAAGTAGCCCTCAGGGGTCTGGGCCTTTAGGATCTTCTCTCGTATGTTCTCAATGGCCCGGGTGATCTGGTGTTTCCGATTGGGGTTGAGGTTGGAGTGCTCTAGACAGGTGAAGGCCAAGCCTGCCATGGCCACTGTGTCTGCAGGGGACAGAGCCAATTGGGGTCAGACCAGGCAGGGCCCTGGGGCAATAGGTGACCACCCAAGGCCTCGAAGAAGGGCCATAATCAGATCAGCAGTTTAGAAAGTTTTCACCAGCTAAAGGGAACAACTCAGTCCAGTGTGCCTAGAGTTTGCTCAGTTTGGCCACTGTAAGTCCAGAGTCCTGGAAGCCCCTTAGTTCCAGGCAAATGGGGATGATAGGTCACCCTACCCCTGTCTATTATTTAAGGGTTAGAGGTTAGGGAGAGAACCTGGAGGAGAGACAAGAGGACTTTATCTTACACCACTCATTCCCAAACCTGCCTGCCCTTTGAAATCACCAGGGAAGTCTGGAACTCACTGATAGCTGGGTCTACCTCCAGCTAGATTTAATAGGTCCAGGCAGCCTCCTGGGCCCCAAGGTGATTACTGTGTCCACAGTGGTTTTTCTACAAGCCTCGGGCAGAGAAAGCTTCCTACTGCCTTCTCTCTGGGGCACCTCCTTGCCCTCCCAACCTACTCCATCCTACCCCCACCCTATGCGAGGCACACACACTCACTCACAGAATGCCAGAACTGAAAGAGACCCTGAATCACAGTGACAAGAAAGGGCACTGGAAGCCCAAGGTCACATAGTGAGGTAGCAGTTCCAAAATCCACGTCTCAGTCTTCCAAGCTCATATAATGACAAGATCATAACTATGTATCCAGAACTTCTCTGTGCCAAGCACCAATCTAAGTCCTTTATTTATAAGGCATCTTCTATCAAGATACTGCTGGGAGGTTATTTTACAGGAGAGGCTGAACCAGAAAGGCCAGCTGGCTTGCCCAGGGTGTCCTACAATCAGTGTGTGTGACAGAGCAGGGGTCAGGATCTCAGTTCAGCTCCAACACTAGCTCACAACCACTGTACCACACTCAAGAGTCCTCACCATTTCACTCCTAAGGGACTCATGAGGAGGGGCCCCAAGGAAAGGTGATCTTGGGCAGAGGGGTAGAGGCCCTCAGTTGGGGCTGGGGACTGGAGGAGTGCCAGCCTGGCTTTAGCAGGGTCTAGCCCACTCACCCACAGAGAGGTGGCCCTGGTGGAGATGCTGTTCATGTTCCACGGCATACAGGAGCTTTCCCACCACACTGTCATGGAGCCGCTTCTGGTGAACACACAGGGCCAGGATGCCCAGGCCATACTGATAGTAGCTGGTGTGGGGCTGGCCTTTGTTATTGTGTCCTGGGAGGGAGAAAACCATGGGGCAGGGACTTCATACCAGGCCTGAAGGGTTGCCTCTCTGCCCACTCCCAGCAACCAGCCCAGCCGGCACACAGGACCCCCTTGCCTATGCTTCCTGACACCCTCCTTTGGGTCGCGAGATCCTTCATTCCTTCATTCCCTCAATCCGTTCTTGCTGAAGATCCACTACGTGTCAGGTGCTGTGCTCAGAGTGATGACCAAGCCGGTGGTGACCGGCCAGGCACAGCACAGCCAGGGTCTCCAACAGTAACACAACCTGTACTCATGACAGCATGATTAGTACTGAAATGTGGACCGAGGTCTCTGGGGCCATATGGTAGAGGTCTTTGACTAGCTGGGGAGTCAGAGCAGGATTCTCTAAGACAGTGATGCTGGGATGGTGGGCGGGGGGGGGGGGGGGGGGGGGGGGGGGGGGGGGGGGGAGCTAAGGTGGAGCAGGAGTAAGCTAGAAGGGGAGGGAAATCTTCTAGATTGAGAAAACATATATTAAGACCTTGATCTGCAAGCTGAGAGATCAGTGTGGCCAGAGCCAGAGGGGCAGGTGAGTGGGTGAGCCAGAGAATGGGAGAGCAGGTCTTAGAGAGGAGAAGAAGGGCAGACAGACTGGGCTTGAGGTGCTGTGGACACAGCAGTGGGCAGCCTGTGCAGGGTTTGAGCAGGGCTAATAACATCAGATTTACATTTAAAATGCTTGCTCTGGCTGTCATGTGCCGGGCCGAATCAGGAGGCAAGACAGTTGGCAGAGAGAGGCTGAGGAGTAAGTAGTACAGGGGCTGTGCCAGGGGTCGACAGTCAGGTCAGTCATGGTGGCTGAGCAGTAGAACTTGTCAACAGAGTATATGTAGAGTGCAGGAAAGGCTTGATCAAGGATGGCAACTGCAGCAGGCCTAAGCCTCTAGGTGGATAGTGACACAGGCAGAATGGGGGGTAGGAAAGAAGCCTGAGGAGAAAACCCAAAGTTCTGACTTAGATGCTCCCCCACAGAATACTACCTGATGAGCCCCACCCCCCAACACTTGGCAGACCACGTCCCCCTCACCAATGGCCTTTTTCTCGTCCTCCAGGAACCGCTTCAGCTGCGAGACCAGCCTGTCCCCCTTGCGGCCCTCAACAAGCTCACAGTTAGCCCTGAGAGCTAGCAGGTAGAGGGCCAGCTGGCCCATGGAGGGCTTGTCCTGGTAGTCACTGTTGTCATCGTTGAAGGTAAGCCTAGGAAAAAGCCAGTTAACAACACTTCTGTAAGAAAGTGCCACCCTCTCAGTTGGTTAAGCTTCCGACTTCGGCTCAGGTCACGATCTCATGGTCCGTGAGTTCGAGCCCCGCGTCGGGCTCTGTGCTGACAGCTCAGAGCCTGGAGCCTGTTTCAGATTGTGTCTCCCTCTCTCTGACCCTCCCCCGTTCATGCTCTGTCTCTCTCTGTCTCAAAAATAAATAAACGTTAAAAAAAAAATTAAAAAAAAAAAAAAAAGAAAGTGCCACCCTGGTGAGCCTGGCTTGGGGCACCCCCCTCAACATCATAAAGTGAAAAAAAACCTAACAATAAGAAACTTTGAACTGCCCAAAGCAGATGTAATCAGCTGTGCAAGTTGTAAGGTGCATGCCACACATATTTCATAAAGATGAAAAATTAGACTCAAGGACAAACCCTGAGGGTTCTCACATCCAAATGACCTGTGCTTACCCCACCATTTTGATCACACTTTGCCTACACAGTCTTCCCTTTCTTCCCTCTCCCTGCCCTGCATCCACTCTTTGAGAGGGAGTCCAAGCAGGACAGGCTTCATGGTGTTCCTGATCCTTCACCTCTCATTCAAACTCCCACAGTGAGCCTCAGAACAGGTCTTCCTTAATGCCCCTGGAAAGGGAGCACAGAGTTAGATGCTGCTAGATGCTGCTTCTGGGCTTAGTATGGAAGATTGCAGTCATGGATTAGTGATGTCTGCCTTAGCATGGGAGGGAAGCACAGACGGATGCTGCTTCTGGGCTCAGTATGGGATGGGGGGCAGAGGGGGAACTGTGGTCATGGATTAGTGATGTCTGCCTCCAATCTGGTCAAGCCAACCCCATTCTACAGATGGAGAAAGTGCCAAAGGAGACAAACTTGCCCAAAATCTCCCAACAAATCAATGGCAGCCCAAACGAGAATATAGTTCTCCTGTCTCTTAGGATGTGGAGCAAGGTGTGGGGAAAGGAGAAGAAAGTGAACAGCAATACCCCAGGAGGCTGTGCTGGTAACTGAGTTTGAGGATGTGCAGATAGAAGGCCTCCCTGGCCCCGGCCTGCAAGCTGGAGAGGCGCAGACCCACGTAGATACTGGGGTTCAGGTGCTCCAGAGAGAGCCAGTCCATCCAGGGCAAGAGGCGCTGGCCCAGCCTCTCCACCAGCTTGCTATCCACCTGTGGTATTTCTTAGGAAAGAGAACAGACCAAGTGAGGTCACAAGGCTAGGCCACCGGCAAGGAACTGCTTTTACCTTACCAGGGCCTTCTCCGGGGTATAAACAGCTCTACTCCCTCTCCATCCAGTACACACCCTACTTGTATGGGAAAATATGGCTGTAATAAAAGGCAGTATGTAAATAGGGGAAAGTAGATTTCCCAGAAGAGCAGTTGGAGTGGGCCAGGGAGAGGTGGCGGGCTGAGGGCAGAGGAAGCTGGTACCGGGCAACCAGTCTGCCATCAGGAGTAACAGGGAATGGAGGCCAAGCCGTGTGATATGCTCCAGCCACTGTGCCCGACCTCACTTGGTCCTCATGCCAGCCCTGTGGCATAAGTACTGTCATCATTGCTTTGCATAAAAGAGGAAACAGCCATTCAGAATCAGGTTGTGTCTTCCAGAAGGTTGCATGGCCAAGGATAAACCTGCCTACAAAACCCCTGTTCTCTGGTGCTCGGCTAAATTCACGTTCTATCCATTTACACAAACTGCAACCCACATGCAGAACATGTTACATACCCAGTTTTAAAACTCTGCTGGCTGCCTATGGCTAACTGGGGCTCTCCTGGTGAGCTTCCTCTGTATAGATCTCAAAATAATGCTTTTCCTATCACATCTGTTTAGGTGAAGGGGACCTGAGATTGAGGGGTGAATCCTTGGAAAGCCATCATCGTTTACAACCATTTCTCTGTGTGCTTTGGGATTTGCCTGAAACTGTGTAACCAAAATGCTGACATACCAGGGGAAGCCTCAGGGATATTTTCTAGCTCCAGCTGACTGCTGCCTTCTGCCCTTAGGGAAGGAAACTTGAGCTCAGTAGGTGGCCCTGGAGGCACTTTGGACTTTTCCCCATTTACTGCCTCCCAGTTGCTGTAGGGCTCCAGCTACTTCCACTGGGCCACATCTCAGGATGCTGGGCAGGCCACCCCTCCCAGGAGATTCAGCAATGGAACTGCCAACCAGAGCTCTTCACCTGCCTCTTGGGCCTTCTGATACGAGGACAGGGTTCCTCTCATACAGGCCCACCTTTCTTGGTTTGGGTCCCACCATTTTTTTTTTAAAGTAATCTCTACCCTCAACGTGGGGCTTGAACTCACGACCCTAAGATCAAGCGTCCCATGTTCTACAGACTGAGCTAGCCAGGTGCCTAATGGGTCCCACCATCTTATGCCTCTTTTCCCAAAAGTCACAGGTATTTGTTGCTACCTGTGGAGGTGGTGAGGGTAAGGGGTAAGGGTGACTTTTCTTTCTCTTTCTCTTTCTCAGTGCCTTTCTGTATCTGCTTCCATTTCTTTTTTTTTTTTTTTTTTTTTTTTTTTTTTTTTTTTCTTTTTTTATTCTGCTTCCATTTCCTCATTCTCTCTGGATCTGTCTTAGTCTCTACCTCTTTCAGCCTATCTCTCTGGTCATCTGTCTCTCTGTAACTCTCTTTCCCTCTCTCTTTTCTTCAAACTGGTAGGGGAGCCTCACCCCCACTCCAGGCTTTGACCTCCAGCAGATGAGTCAGCCCTGGGGCTACAAGTGATAAAAAGAGGAGCCAGAGCTATAAAGAGAGGCTGATAACCACAATTCAGCCTCCTTAAAAGGAAGGAGCCAGGCAGATTCACCTCAGTAATAAAAGTGGCACTGGGCAAGCTCCCTCCCATGGTGCCTCCTGCTCACAGGGCCACCCAGCATTGCCAGCTGACTGGCTTTGACATACAGAAGCATAGAAGCCTACCCTGGGCAAGCATTAGTGCAGCATCCTTGTCAATTTCACAACTGCACAGAGCTTTAAGCTGGTAAAGCAGATGTTATGGGATCCTTCACACCACACCAAGGAGGAAGGCCAGGAAGCATTCTTAGACCATTTTGCAGGTGAGGGAATGAGGGTTGAGCAGGTAAGTGGCTCAGCAGTAGTGGGCTGTACCCCCAAACCCTGCCCAGGGCTTCTGTCTTGACTATGGGCCCACTATTGAATGGTTCATGCCCAGTGAGGATGAGGACTGGGTCCCAGGTCTCCCCTGGGGACTATCTAGACAGGAACCAAGATCCAATAGTGAGGGGCCTGGTTGCATTTATGGAACACAGGTTGGAGGCTCCTGGTGCTCAGGGAAGACCCTGGCCTGGAATTCTGAGAACTGAGTCCAACAAAGCCCCGACAGGTCACCGGGCTCCTCCAACCCTTGACAGACTCATCTGTCACTTGGACATGACTGAACCTGCCTCTCGATTTCTCCAAAGATCACAAGAGACACTGGGAGTGAAAGCATATTGCACAGTGTAAGGCTGTGGGCAGAATATAAGGAGGGAGGAGAGGTGGGTAGCCCCAAAACACAGAGGCTTCCCTGCCTGCCTTCTGCTTTCTGCCCATCGCCAGTGCACAAATAGCCCCAGGCCTGTGTGCTCAGACTCCCAAGGGTTCCCAGAGAGACTCCTGGGGACACGGGCACACAGAGCTGAAGCAGCCAGGCTCCTATGCTAGTATGCAAATGCCTTGCCATGACCTGCCACCTGTGCCTCTCTCGGGCTTGTCTCCTGTAACAGTGACTGCATACTAGCTTCCCTCTGCCTGGGATGCCCGTTCTACCCCCAAACACACTCCTTTTCTTGCCAGCTCCTTTTCTTCCTCTGGGCCTCAATCCCCCTGTCACCCCTGGTCCTCGGAAATCCTTCCCTGAACGCTCTTCCTGAATCAGTGGCCCCCAGCTCTCCACCTCCATGCCTGGCTCACTTCCTTTGGTGCTTACCACGGCCCCCAAATACAGCACTGATTTGTCTCTTGACTTCTTTTGTCTGTCCCCTTTACTAGAACAGATGGACTAGGAAGACAAGGATGGGACCTGTCTTGCTCCTTGTTCTTTCCCCAAAGTCTAACACTGCACTGACACAGAGAAGTCTTAGTCAATGCATGTTGAATGAATAAATAAACAGATGAGTGAATGAATGGGAGCATTTTTGTACGGTGGGCTATCAGACATACACAGTTGACCCTTCAACAACATGTGTTTGAACTGCATGGGTCCACTTATATGTGAATTTTTCTTAATACAGTACAGTACTTTAAATGTATTTTCTGTGGTGCCTGGGTAGCTCAGTCACTTAAGTGCCTGACTCTTGGTTTTAGCTCAAGTCATGACTTCACAGTCTGTGGGTTCGAGCCCCAATCTGGCTCTGCACTATCAATGCAGGGATTCTCTCTC